ATAATTGTTGAGAATTTTCTTTTATTTTGTTTTTATAATTGAATAATAAAGAATGACGAACGAGGAGTTTTGTTTTATTTTTTTTAAATCAAAGCTCACTTATCTTCTTTAAGTATTACTCAATTCAGTTAGTTTGATTACTTCGATTGAAAAAATTCAAAACCAAAAATTGAACCGATTAAAATGTTTTAATTGAACTTGATTAATCAAAATAACCAAATACCAAAGTAACTAAATCAAAAAAACTGAATTCACTTCAATTCGGTTTGAATTTGCATACCTCCACATAATACCATTGATTAAAATTTTAAATAAGTTTTTAAATTTTTTATTTTTTATATATTTTTTTATTTTTTTATCATATCTAAATAATTTCTTATATCGACGAAAATATACATATCAAGTGTATTATGTGAATTTAAAGATCATTAAATTCATTATCAACTAACATCTTCTTTGCATGTGAATGTTGACATAACTTTTGTATTGTGATGACATTAGTTGAATGAAAAAAATTTGATCAAAGATGTGATCATTCCAACCAGTCAATTTTATCATATTAGAAAAGTCACTTCATTTGTTAAAAGTGTAAAAAATGTTAGCTAATCATGAATTAAACGACCATTAAGATCACATGTGTTACATAATATATTTTTAACTATGTAAAGACCTATATTGATAAAATATAGAATTAAGGTGTATTTGTATATAATAAAAAAATAGAAATTTTTAAAAAATTTGAGATAGTTTAAGGATTTAGTTAGTAATTTAAGTTTTTTAATTTTTTGATTTGAAAACTATAAAAGCAAAAGCACATTTGCAAACAAAAGTTAAAAAAAATATTTTTTAAAAGGATTAAGCTTCACGTTGTTTTACATGTTTACCCACATAATCATATTTCTCATACTTGAGGCTTTTTCGTTAATCGTTTGAACTTGACCCATCTATTACATATTACTAGAAATGTATTCGTACGTTGCACATAGATCAATAATACATGTTATAATAGTTAAGTTTATTATGTTTTTCATTCTATAATTTTTTGTAGGTGAAGATTAAAGCAAGTCCATGTACTCAAAATTATATATACAAAATTTTATAGTCGGTGGTAGAAAATATAAAGTAATATAACAACAATTTGTAATTTCATATATTAGTTGTTAGCTTATTTACAAAAAGAGGTGTCTCTAAACAAAAGTTAGTATAAGATATTAGCAAAGCTCTATAAAAAATACATTGTTTTGTATCTTTTTGAAGTAATGTGTTAATGTTTTGCCGGTACTCTAAGCATATATAAAAAATATAGTGATAGTATGTAATAAAACATAAAACTTTGTCACTAAACAATTATTTAAACCTAATAGTAATTGATATTGGGCTTTGAACTATAGAACTTCAGATCAAAGATATTGGACATTTTTCTTGAAATCATAGCACTAAAAATCAAAGATAATTAATTAAGCAGTGGATATCAAACAAATATCACGACATATCAATGATATCAAACATTATAATTATAACTGTAGCACCTTATATGAAGCGTTATGCTTGGAAACGTAACACTACAAATCAATGATATAATTAAGCAGTATCAAGAATATCATTTTTTTTTTTTGTGAAAGGCAAGGATATCATCTATTATACTTAGAATCCTAGTACTCTAGATCAAAGATATCAATCATTAAACTTGAAAGCGTAACACTGCAAATCAAATATATAAAGTATAATGATTTGAATTGTATTATTATAGATCAAGGATATCAAGCATTATGCTTAGTACCGTAACACCCTATAGCAAAAATATCATCTATTATATTTAGAATTGTAGTACTATAGATCAAGGATATTAAGTGAATATCAAGTAGATATCATGACATGGCAAAAATATCATATATTATACTTAATATTATAAGACCCCATATCAACGATATTAAGCATTATACTTTGAATCATAGCATTACAAATCAAAAAATAATTAAGCAATGGACATCAAGTAAATATCACAACAAATCAAGGATATCAAATATTATAATTGAAATTGTAGCACCTCATATCAAGACTATCAAGTATTATGCTTGAAAATGTAACACTACAAATCAAGGATATAATTAAGCAGTATCAAAGATATCATTTATTATGCTTGGAATCGTAGTACCTTATATCAAGGATATCAAGTATTAGGCTTAAACGTGTAACAATACAGATCGAAGATATCAAGTATAATGATTTGAAATGTATCACTATAGATTAAAGATATCAAGCATTACAGTTGATACCATAACATTCTACATCAAAGATACTAGTTATTATATTTAAAATCATAGGACCATAGTTAAGGATATTTAATAAAAGAATCTTGTAAATAATGTTAATAATAATGAGAAAGAATAATTTTAAATTTAAAAAATTATAAAAAAATAATAATAAATCAAAAACAATTATTTTAAAGTATTGATAATTTTAAAAAAAAATTTCTTGATAAGGCTTCTTCTTACACACTAGACCTTCATTTTCTTACTCTAAAAGTGAAAAGGCCCTTGCATATTCAAACCATCCCACAATTCAAAAAATTTTGACAAATTTCTTATTTTTCCAAAGCTTCAAAAAGTTCCGAATACATTTTAGATGAAAAAAAATGTAGATAGTATAAGGTAAGATCAAACAGCCGAAAGCAAAAAACGATGGAAAAAAACTTTGAAAAAGCCAAAAATACCCTCACTAGGATCGATAAAATCGAGGGACAAAACATATGGAAGACTTGAAGAAGATGGTACTACATCTAGCGGTTAAAAAAAAAACAAAGTACCCATTTTAGCCTCACATGTACTGGACTGTACAAAGAAAATCGATTGAACCCACTTTCCGATAACCTAAACCAAGATAGAGCAATACACCAACCAATGTCCAACCCAAGGTTAAAGAGGCTGAAACCTTTTTCTTTCCCAAGATACGATCTCATTCATATTTTTTCCCTCCAAATGCAAATAAATAAATAAATAAAAACATCAATCAAACACGTCAGAAAATATTAGTATTTATTTGGTGAGAAATATAAGGTGTTTGTTTTATATAGAAAATTAGTGCTGATGAATAATGTGGACACTAGCATGTTGCATATGTACGTAGAACCGACGCTTTGTTGGGCTATAGGGAAAGCAAACTGCACAGCATGATGTAAGCCTATTTTGTCTATAATCAGTGCAAAAAAACGCCAAAAAAATTTATTGAGGATAGAAGTTTTGTTCCCACCATCACGCATCAGCTAAAAACACCTACGATGTGACACTCACAGATGCAAAAAACGTGACCCAAGGTGAGAGTTTCATTGGGGCTTTCTTTTACTTATAGGTAAATTTTATTATTAGAATATTTATAAAAAAATATTTTGATATTTTAAAATTAAAAAATAGTTATTAATGTAAATAATTTTTTAAGCTAGGTTTGGGCTTAAAATCTTATGCCTGAAGCCAACCTAAATCAATTTCGACAAACCTTCAACCTTGAATAAACTACTCAATTTTTAATATCTCTATTTTTAAATTATTAATTATTATTTTTTTCTTTTGTGTAGTAGAAAAATACAAATATATTTTTTTTAGAATAAGAATAATTAGATTGTTACTTGACCGGCTATAGTGTAAAGATGGTGATCTTTTCTATTGATATTTCCTTTCTTAATTTAAGAATAATATTTTAAAAATATATAAACTATTTTAAAATTTTTAAATAATTTTTTATTATTAATAATTAATAATTGATTAACTATTATAAATCAAAATGTCACTTATTATTTTATACCACATAAAGTTTATATGTCATAATAAATCATAATGTGGCATACTAATATGTCATGATGATATAATCGTACGATATTTTTCACTCGACATATGAATATAAAATAACAAATTACATTTTGACTACTCAAAATAAAAATATATAAACTTTATTAAATTCAATAGAAGAATAGATATTTATATTTATTTTGTAATAATTTATTAACCTTTATAAGTACTATTCTCTTAATTTACCTTATTTATTCAAAAATCTCTTCAATTTCCACTAAATTTTCTCGATTAAGAAACCAAACTTGTCTAAAGAAGTGACATAAATTTTATTGATTAATTTATATATACACAAGTGATAGAATTTAAAAGTTCAATAACCGTGGGAAATCACAAAGATTGAATATTGTATCCAACTCATATGAGCAATTATGGGGGAAAAAAACTTCAAAACAACAAGATATATAATAAAAGTTTCTTAGAATAACCAAGCCAGGTCAAGCTTAATTTTTAAAAAAGTCTAAGCTTAAATTGGGTGCAACTCATCCATTTACATATTTTATTATTCAAATGATAAGATATAATTTTTTTTTAAGAAAAGGACGAATGCCTCCTCTATATCCTTGAAGTAATATGTGTTGGTCTTCCCTCTTTACACGTACAAGGACGTCAATTCTTGCAAAATTGGACGTCCATTGGCTTATAAATTTCCTTTGATCTAAACATAATGTGATTGTGAATTAATGGCAAAAAAAAAAACCATATTAAGAAATGTGATACACCCCATGGGCCACAATTAATAGGGGCAATTGAAAAAATAAAAGAACTACATACCAAAATAATCATTATCCTCCGTATAGTCATGAATACCATTTGTTTAAAAGTTCCAAGAGAAGCACCGAGTCATTTTATATTTAATATTTTTTAAGATTAAGGCTGACTCGTGCCAAATTGGAACCTAAAAATTTTTGCTTTCAAGCTAGGCCTACAGGGCCCAAGCAGGTAATCCAACCCTTAGGCCGTATTAGGAAGGAAGGAGAATAAACAAAAGTGCAAACAAACTTTAAAGAGAGGTACAAATTTTATTATATAACCTTATGAACAATGAAGCCATGACACAACTTGTTATTATTAAAGAAAACTGATACTAACAGACTGCAAACTTGAAGATAAAGCGAACATATATAGAAGACACGTAATTAAGACAACCAAACGCCAGGTGAAAGAGCACCCCGAGTTTCTTTTGGTGTATGTATAGCCATGGGATTCCTTTTTGTTCTTTGCGTATTATGAAAACACGGCTGATTTCTTTATTGCATGCATGCCCAGCTGTATGGGTGGAAAAATCTGGATTTTAAAAAGGCTTTTGGTCACGACAATTTAAGTTGCCCCCATAGTTGATACCCAAAATGTCACAGTATCCCTTATAGAAACCAATTCTGTCACCAGAGCTGGGATGAGGACCGTAGCCACACTCGATATATCCCACCATTAATTATGTTCGTGATGGCACCATAGCCCGGGACCCGACCTGCTGCCCGGTCGGCATCCGAAGGTGTCCAGCGTCCGAGGATGACATCATGGCTTGATGGTTTGTTTCCTTGTGGAGTTATCCAAAACCAAATGGCTGTCTTGAAAGATATGGTTGCATCCGTGGCTACAAGCTCTGGATTGTTTATGAGATCCCTTCTGATGGCGCCGTGATCACCTGCTTGCTTGTAATTGTAGTTGCTGCACCGATCATCAAACTTAACAGTCAAATTCCTATAACTCTAATGCATTAATTTATCCTTCTACAAGTACAACACCCAATAAATTTAAGACTGTTTGATTAGCAGATTTTGTTAAAAGACGAGGCAAAATTGATTGATAGTTAAGCTTACTGAGAAAGTTGGATGGGTCCTTGGCCATAGAATTTTTTGTTAGGAGAGCAAGGCCAGCCCGCGTCGCAATAAGCTGGCGGGTTGTTTTGCTCCCCAACGAAGTAATATCCCCATGCATACCGCCCACCAGGAGCAGTATCCCATCCTCCTGCATGCGCCAACAACGATTAACTAATTATAATTCCTCAAAACTTTTATACAAAACTTTAATTAACTATACCATCAATTACAATTACAAAACTAACCAGTTGTTTCATGAGAGGTTTCGCCAAAGAACGCCGCCAGTTCCCTCTTTCGCGTAACAACATCACCGGTTGTGCCGAAACCATTAAAAGATCGAGCTGCAGCGACGAAAGCATCGTAAGTATAGAATCCATTGCGATGTTTAAACATCATCTCGTAAAGGTCTCGAGTGATGATTTCAGTAACATCTTGAGCACCGCTTCTTCTGGTTGCCGATCCTAGCAAGACTGCCAGGGTGAACAGCACAGCATACGACTTTCACTTTGCCAGCTCTGAGGACGGTTTTTGAAGTAGTATCAATGGTAGTCATCTATAAATATAGATGAATATATTGTTTGATATACAAATGGCTGGCGCACTTCATCTTAGTGGACCATTTCGTGGACATTACACCTTTGAGAAATTTCAACGGATATCATCTTAGTAATTAACGCTTTAGTTGATTATGTGATTATAGGAAATTAATCCCACTATTTAATGGATCGATCTGCACGAGAACTATCCCTTCAACGTCAAAGATATGTAAGAAAGAAAATACAAGGCGGCTTTTCCTTAGTTGCTTTACTACCTAATTGCCGTACTCTGCAGATGGGAAAATTGTGGCGCTAATCTATATGTTGATGGAACGTTTTATCTTAACTTTAATCCCCCGCCGCCTCTTTAGTCATCAGCATTTTGGGTTAGCGGGTTTGCCAGATTGAAGGACAAAACTTTGACAAATAATTAAGTATAAACGTTTTCCGAAGGAGATTCAACCTTCTTTCTTATGATCCATTAGCTATAGTGTTCATGCTTACAATGAAAACATTAGAAGAGATTTTATCTCCTTTTCCTTTTAAATTTGTAAAATTTTTTATTTAAAAATAGTAATTAATGTTTGATCTTCATATTTTGTCTGTGTCTCTGGTGTAGATTCTATTTCAGTTTCCTTTTAGATTCATAAACTTTGTTATTTAAATATAACTAAGAATGTTTGATATTCAAATTTTATCTGTAAATGTTGAATATTAAGCAATATGTTTACTATTATCAATGACAAAATTAAAACATTTATTTTTATGAAGGATCTCTGAAACTAGCCTTTCCAACGGTTCCATCCCATCCTACATTTCTGTTTTCAAGTTAACAAACTCCCCTGATCACTGTCAATGCTGCCCACTTACCTATTAAACTCACACATCTGAATTTTCTCTTTTGGAGGACTTAATTCATATCTATTCTTATTGGTTGCAAACTTATTGGATATGTTGATGGTTCAACACCCTGCCCTTTATCATTATTCCTCAAGAAAGATCAACTCTTCCTATTCTCGTTGACAACCTAGTCTATTATAATTGAATTAGACAAGACCCATTGCTACTCCATGGCATTATTTCATTTGCCACAAAGAGTGTAGGGTGTAGTCCCATTTTTTTTGCTTCTGCGAAAACTTCCTTTGATGTATGGAACAAAATTAACAAACTTTATACCAAAAAATCCGTATCAAGAAGATGAATTTAGAAAGAGAAGATTACCAAGCCAAAGGAATCCAAATCTAACTCGGAATATTTCCAAAATCTAGGAATTGTGGCTGATGAACTTGCATTAGTCAATTCTCCTGTTAGTGAGGAAGAACTTGTCATTCATGTCTTGATATTATTATATAGATTGAAAACGATAGTGCTTGATCTTTTATAGCAGCTTATATATCCTTTAAAAATCAAAAGCTATGACTAAGAGTCCAAACGTAAGAACTAGGATGAATGGATGATAACTTCATGAGAAAGCAAAATCTTCGTTGCTGTATTCAACAAGCCATAAGCCCATAACCATAACCAAACACCGAATGTTTCCTTGATACTGATCCAGAGAACTTATGCAGTTTTGGCTCTAATTAATCCATTGAAAGGTCTTGGCCTTTCCAACAGTATGCCACTGTATATCTCACAAAAAAGTCAAGAACCAATGAATGCACTCCATGTTAAACCAAACAACAAAGTCTTGCATCTTGTTCAGTGTAATAGATCGTAATCGCCTTTAATTTTTTTTTCTTCTGTCGTAATTACAGTTTTTAGCCTACACGCTACCATGTACTGGCATTAAAAAGACATGTAATGGGGCATACTGTTAATCTTCCTAAGTTAAATTTTATCCCAAATATGCATTTGTCAGTTCTTGGGGCTCTGGATCAAGGCAGAGGCCATTCCGCTAATGCATGAAGAGATCATGTATTATAGTATTTTAATCCCAGTCCTTGCTGTACATACCACACAAGAACAGCATTGCAATAATCTTTTTTTCTTTCTACAAAGAAAAAACATGTCGTTAAACGAACCTTTGAGCAACTTCATGAGTTACTAATTTATAGTTCGCAAAGCCCCAAAGGAGTAATTAAGGGCTTAAGATCGTTCCCCTCTTCCTTGATAACATACCCAGTTTCTGATATTGCAACAAAATTGGGGTCAGCTAATAAGAAATTTCTTTCAACTTTGAAGCTTAGCAGACATATACACTCCATCCATTAATCTCAACCTGAGAAGGGTAAGAACCAATTATGATGATCAACCATGGATGAAAAAGAAAAAGAAAAGATCCAGCATCCAATATCCTGTAAAGGGTATGCAGCAAGGTAATCAACTTCAATTAAAAATTAAAGCTCAGCACCTCACACTCAGCAGAACATCAACATCGGAAGCAGCACACAGCAACAGAACATCAACATCACAGGCAACACACAGGATAGAGCTCTGCTGAGCACCAGCACCAGCACCAGCACCAGCAGCTCAAAAATCAATTTCAACTCAAGTCAAGAAGCTGCAATAATCACACTAGTGATCAGGAACTTAGCAGCACGTATACAGCAGCAAAATTCAAATAAGCAGATCTTCCGTCAGCTGACAAACATCAATTGCAGATCAAGAATCAATAAATCAAATCCAGCTAAAGTAAGAAATCTGCACCAAACCAATCTCTCTGATCTGACTTTGGCATGATTCTGATCAGAACATCCTGATAAGCTTGTGAGAAAGCTATTCCTTAAATCATTCCTCAAATTATTTCCTCACAATTTCTGTCATTCAATTCCTTGCAACAGAAACATTGTACCTGTATAAATACTTGTACTAATTAATTATGTAAAATGCAGCCTGATTCAATACAACTTCTTCATCCTTTTATATCCCAAGTGATAAAGCAAATTCTTTTTGGGCTGTTTATACGAGCTGGCAATACTGCTTAACAAACTAGTTTAAGCAAATAAATTGCTTCTACTTCTAAAAGCCATACGAAAGTTGCTTCATGATCTTTCTTCAAAGTTTGGCCTTTCGCCTTTTTATTGATTCAACGGCTAAGCAACTTGTTTACTGGAAAATCCATGTAATTAAGCTCCAAGTAACTTAACAGCTTCCGTTAGGATAACTTTCATTAATCACTCTAGGCTTCATGCTATTATTTCTTGTCTTGGTGAGTAAACAGTCAACAAATTTCTTCTTCAATTTGTTAACCCTTATACATCTTCGACTTTCATCATTTTTTTTCCTAATAATTAAGAAAACTAAAGGGGAGTAGAGAAGCTCTAAGAGGTTCACCTACATTCTAATTGAGCAATTGGTTCAAGCACTGGTTAACTCCACTTCAAAAGGTATAAGAAGGGGTCTTAGAATTAGGCAAAGCAAAGTTGAAACTTATAGAAGAAGTCTTTTGCAAAAATCAGGTTTCAAACCAGTTAATAAATGAAAATCATGCACTGTTCACTGTAAATTTTTGGCCATTCATCAATCCGACATCAAATCCTCAACGCATTATAGAGTTATATCTCTCTCCTTCCAATTCATCCCAAGTTCTCAGGTGCCCTTATTTTTCTTTTTTTTCTATAAATGAAGTACATGGCTTGGAACAAAAAGACAATGCAATAGAGATACATGGCACAATCAATATTCTTCAACTGATGAAGAATCCAAGGGAACCTGAAATTGCAAGACACAAAATTAAGAATACTTTTACATGACTTTGGTAAGGGAATAAAATGCCCTGTTGGAAAACTGGGCGAGTGTCAGATCTTATTACATACATGACGCCAATTACATGATTAGAAAAAATTTGAAAACATTGGTAACTTGTAATGGCAAACAGTCGTAATTAAAGCAAATACTTTTGAATGGGATTGAGTCCCTCTATCTTTAGGGTAGGCCCAACACATCGTAATCCCTAATAATATCCCAAAAACCCAAAAAGGAGCTGAGTGTGTGTCTGGTTTTTGTTGCTGTCTCCAATCATTTGGTAGCCACCCAGTTGTCTGATTTTTCAATTGTTTGGTTATTATTTAGACATATCAACGAATCAGAAAATGATCGATTACGAGAAAACAAAAAGTGTTCTTTAGCAAGCCACTTGGTGGCCAAATGGACCCAAAAGGGTGGATAAAGAGCCAATGTGGATTGAGTTTTGAGGAATGCAAAGGCACATTCACTGACCCAAAAAGTACGTTTGCACACTTTTACTCGATGCCCCCAATCCATTTCAGGTAACTTTGATTTTCTGAATTTTAATTAACACTTTAAGGGTGCGTTTGATAGAATAAGATAATTATCGTCCTATCCCTTGTTTGGTGTGTGCTTAAAATGAAGGACTGGATTGCAGAGACAGCTACTCATCCTTCTAGTATAAGGATAATTCAATCCTCTCAAAATTAAAAAATATATATATATATATTTTTTAATCTCATGAGATTGAACACATGATAAGTGCTTTTTTTTTTTATCCTTCAACTTACATTTAAAACTTGAGTTAAACTAATGGTAAGATGACAAATGTCATTGTTTGATTAGTTAGCTCAAAATACTATTTTTTTCCTGTTTTATTTTTATCCTCTTTTTCTTTTTCCTCCTAATTTCCCCCACTACTAACCACCTTTCAAAAGGTTGGAGCCTCCTTTAACCGATGAGAGAAGAAATTGAAAAAAAAATAAAGAAGAAAAGGAAAACATAAAATATAAAGAGAGAAAACATAATTTGAATAAAGTTATTTTTTTTCTTTTTGAAAATTTAAAATAAATATATAAAATTAAATTGTAAATTTTTTGTTAAATAGATTTAAATTATATTTATAATCATAAAATTATAAATTTAAATCTTTTTTTCTTTGAAGAAAGGATAATTTTAACCATTTAAGAAAATTATCCTATCACACTCTTAATTCTACACACACCATACATATTACAATATAAAAATAATTTTATTTTACTTAATCTTTACACACGTCAAATATAAAATAAAAGATATTATTGAATTTAATCACTCTCTTATCTTATTTTATATCACCTCCATAATCTTACATACCAAATCTACCCTCGGATGAGTTCAACAACAATTT